ACAGTCATGGAAACACTGGGGGCTTCCATAGGACTGCCATATGTTAGTGTAAAAAAATGCTCTCTCTTCCTGGTGAACACTGAACATCTTCACAGGACAAATATGATGTGTAGTAGCCAGTCTCTCCAAATAACTCCCAACTGCAAAGTTGCTCTGAGTGAACTAATGGGGAAATTTAAAGGCATTTAAATTTTAAATTTGGAGGTGTGTATCTTGTTCCAGGTACCTCTGAAAATCATAAAGGTTTTGTGTGTCCCTGTATTCTTAAAAAGGCTCTTTGAGGCATCAAAAAGACTTAAGGGCTCAGGCATTTTGGAGGCCTGATTGGAACTGCAAACGCCTGGCTAGGGTCCCCTTGCCACAGGCTTTGGCACAGTCGTAACTCTTACGCTCCAGTGTCCATATGCAAAATGATGTGTGTGCAAGAGAACAGCAGGATTATTAGCTACTTGTTGGTCTGTCAGTCCTTTTCATTCTGAAGTCTGTTACACTCACAACAGTTTAGGGAAAAGTAAGTGCAGGATAGAAAGACTGTGTGAGGTGCATATACCCTTTTGCTTTGGAACAATTTCTAATGGTGTATTCCTAAAATAAATTTCAGGGGCTTTGCTGACATGAGTGCTGGAAGAGATAGCTGTAACTAATTTTCCTTACTGGCTTGTGTTGACAGTGGCGCTTTAACTCCTATTGCCTTCAGGAAATGGGATGAAAAAGCCATGATTCTAAAGTTTGGGAGAATTGCAAGCTGAAGTTTTTCTTGTAGTCTTGCCTTATCTTAGCCTCGTTGAAAAAGAGGGGGAGGGAAAAGATGGGGAAGGGGGGGTGCGCGGTAAAACAGTGCTAAGTGTTAACTTTCCTCTTATCTGTAAATACAAAGTTTCCTGTATACCAGGTTGAATACCTCTGTACTCGGTTCATTATCAAACTGTCTCCTGTAGGACTGGTCTGAACCCGTGGCTTTGTGCGGACTGGTGAAGACTACCTTCTCCTCTTGCCTCAGAGCTCAGGGGCAGTTACTGAGCCATAAATTTGACATTTCATTTTTTAGTAACAGATTCCCTCCTTATTACAACCAGAAGTTCTGAAACTTCCTCACTTCTGAGCAACATGAAAAACTGGGCTGTAAAATAACTCCTGCCTAGAGTGGCATATGGTGTGCTTGTATGCCTCTTGTCCACCTAATCTAAACTGTATCTCTCTTCTTTGCTTTGCTAATTCTTCTGTGCTGTTTGTTAAAGGAAGAGTCAAATTCTAAGATATCAGGTTCACTCCCTGAGTGAACTTGGTGGTATCCTCTGTGTGCTCTTTCCTGTGATGATGATTTTGGACTAAGGGTATTTATGACAAGACACCAGACTAGGACAGAAATTGGTCCAGACGTGCAATTAGGTTTGTCCTTAAAGTACAGTAGAATGTTTGGAATCCCAGAACACCTTCAATAGGGTGGATTCAAAGTGGAAAATTAATCAACTAGTCTTATAATTTGTTGTGGGGCCTCAGGCCTACATTTATGGTGCTTGCTGTATCTTGAGACTTTTCCTCTTGGCTTTTATCTTAATTAACTGGATGATTGAGAAGTTTCTAACCATACTTCATCTAGTGTTAATTTGAATTGTTTCTGCCATGCAAATGAGGCAGAATACTGCATGTTAGAATCTTCTGCAGAGCTGCAGATGATTAAATTTCCGTCGGCTGTTTTTTAGATTTGGTACGGCTTCATAGGTGTGCTTGTGAAAGGCTTTTCACTTATTCTTTAGGCTGTGGCTTTGTAATTTGTTTTTGTTTTGAGATTGTTCTCTGAAAAGGGGGCTGACAAGTGACATCAGTCTGGGAGTGTTTAATTTTACCATATGAAAATAAGCTTGAAGGTAAACCTGGATTCTGTTTAGAGTGGGTTAATTTTTATTTCAGTCGAGATGTGGTCCTATTCCATGTTTCTCAGTCCCAAAAGGAGCAATTGGAATGCTATAATCTCTTAAGGGAGAGATCAAGTGTTCCTGGAGCCAGTGCATGGGACATTTGAAGCAAAAGCAGCCTGTTTACTTCTCTCAAGAAGAGCTGTAGCTCTTAAAAGTGCCTTCATGCTTAAATAACCAAAAAAGGCATATTTAAGATAAATAAGTACTCTGATTAATAAACTGATCAGCCTCAGTTTTGAGAAAATGTACTCTGAGAAAACCTTTTTTTATTTGAAAAGCTGGGCTTTCAGCTGAACAAAATGGAAAACATTTGAGTGGGTGCTTGCAAACCGAACACTATTTATGTGACGTGTTTTCTTCTATGTAAGAAAAGAACTAAGTAGAAATTAAACAAGTTGGATGTGTTTGAGGGACCTGTTTATCTGTTCTGAAAATTATGCTTTCTTTTAACTTAAAGCATAGTATAGATTTAATCTTGCAGTACAAAGATGGTTCATCTGATATATGATTGTATTTAAGTAGTGTCCTATTTTTTGTTCATGGCTATTGGAATTTAATTATTAGCAGAACTTTGAGGTGATTCATTACTATTGCAAGGGAAGCCTTTCTACACCAAGCACTCTGTATTACAGGCATAAGTCCTTTAATCACCCAATGACAGTAACTTTTTCATTGCAAGGCAAAAATCTAAAGCCTGTGTATTATGCAAATTAAACCTTCTCTAATGAAAAAAGATGGACAAATAAAATAGATCTTTTTTTTTTATTTAAAAAAATTACTCAGTTTCACTTGTTTTCAGGAAATATTAGTTGAATTACAAAGCTGAAAATTGTTTGTGGTTGGCCTAGTTTAATGTTCAGTAATTTGTCTTTATGATTTATATGAAGTAGTTCTAAAATAAGCATCTCTCAGTTCTGGGAGAGTACCAGTGAGGTTTGTTGTTTTGGGGTTTGTTTTTTGTTTGTTTGTTTTGTTTTTGTTTTTTTAATTGATACATGGGCATAGGTAACAGGTAACTGTTAACTTCTGTAAAATAAAACTGGTGTATAAAATAAGAATGCATTGACTCATGTCTAGCTGTAGGGGTCAGTCCTGTTAATATGTCTGAGATTCCAGCTATGCCATGGTTGCTACTGTCATACTTCTGCTTTGTAGCCTTATGCAAGCTGAGTCTTATCAGCATCCATTATTTTTGATTATTTTAAAATTTATAATAGACAGTGTCCTGGTTTCAGCTGGGATAGAGTTAATTGTCTTCCTAGTAGCTGGTACGGTGCTATGTTTTGAGTTCAGTATGTGAAGAATGTTGATAACACTGATGTTTTCAGTTGTTGCTCAGTAGTGTTTAGACTAAAGTCAAGGATTTTTCAGCTTCTCATGCCCAGCCAGCGAGAAAGCTGGAGGGGCACAAGAAGTTGGCACAGGACAGAGCCAGGGCACCTGAGCCAAACTGGCCAACGATGTATTCCATACCACGGGACGTCCCATCTAGTTTAGGAACTGGGGAGTGGGGGGCAGGGATTCGCGGCTCGGGGACTGGCTGGGTGTTGGTTGGTGGGTGGTGAGCAATTGCCCTGCGCATCATTTGTACATTCCAATCCTTTTATTACTACTGTTGTCATTTTATTAGTGTTATCATTCTCATTATTAGTTTCTTCTTTTCTGTTCTATTAAGCCGTTCTTATCTCAACCCACGAGTTTTACTTCTTTTCCCGATTTTATCCCCCATCCCACTGGATGGGGGGGGAGTGAGTGAGCGGCTGCGTGGTGCTTAGTTGCTGGCTGGGGTTAAACCACGACAGACAGAAAAGCAGGATCATGTCAACTCCATTGGTATGGAAGTAGTAAAATGATAAATTTATTTTTCTGTGCAAACTCTTGATCCTATCTGTTTCTCCATGTGCTGCTTCCTTTTCAGTACTTACATAAATGAGCCTTTAATAAATTCTGTAGTAACATGAAAGCTTAATCCTTTGATAGACTAGAAGAAGCAATTACTTATATGCTGCCTCAATTTGTATTTGCATTGAAATGATTAAAGTGGAGTGTACCAGTTTATGGGACTAGTCAGTGCATTTTTTTATAGTGGCTATTACAGTGGGAATTCACTATCTTATTAAAGCTGAACTTTCAAAAAATTATTTCTGTATCCTTTTCCACCTTCTTTTCTTTGATGGTGTTTGGGACATCAGAATTAATGAAATAGCTAGCTATAAGTTAATGCTAAGGTCTGTGAAAGACCAGTCTTAATGATGGTTGATCATATGCATCATAGAATTTTGGAGTGTTTGGCATGTGCCTTGTGGAAGGGAAAGAAGAACAGAGTTATAACAATCTGATGTGGTGGAAGCAGAGCCACCAGATTTGCACCAATCATGAGCTTCAGTCACAAATGCAAGTGAAAACGTGCTGGTTTTGACCTGGAATCCTGCTCCACAGTGACTCTGCTGTTTTTGATAAGAGCATACAGGACTGAGATATCATGTACTATTATTAGTTGAAATTTCTTTGTGGTGTGCTTTCTTCTCTTGCAGTTGTCCTTGAATATTTTGCATTCAGTAGTACTATCTACTTTGAATTTGATCTGCAGTGTGGTTACCATCCCTTTGTTTATGAAGCTATGATTGTAGGACATGATAATTCTTTTTCTCTTCCTCCACTCCTCTCTGTTTAGCCCAGGCTTTCAGAAAGGAAATTGGAAAACAAAGTGACTTTAATTTCTGTTGCAGTAATACATTTCTAAGGGTGGATGATATACAGAAGAAGAGGTGGAGATAGCAGTTACAGGGGTGGGAAAAAAAAATCCCAAGAGTCAAACTATTCCAGCCTATTCTTTGGGCTTCCTTCCTGGATTTCCCCCTCCCCTGCCTCCCTTCACTTTTTTGGTAAGAGTTATTATTTTACAGCTAAATTTCACATCTATGACCTGGTGGCTATGTGTAGTGAAGTACATGTACATGTACAGAAACTTAAGCCCTTTCTCTTGCTTGGGAGCTTTATATCATAGGGTGACAGTAGCTAATATTTGTGTTTTGTTTTTTCTGCCCTCCTCTTTCCCCGTCCCGCTTTAGATCCCTGCAGTTCACTCAGCCCACCGTGCTTTACTGAGGAAGATCGATTCAGCCTAGAAGCTCTCCGCATGATCCATAAGCAAATGGATGATGACAAAGATGGTGGTATTGAAGTAGATGAAAGTGATGAGGTAGGAGTAAAAAGCCTTCGCTTCTGTATATATGAGGTCTGTCGTTTTTTTCCCGTTTTATATAGCAGCTTTTTATGTTCCAGCACTTGAGTAGTCATTGATGGTTTTCTTAATTCAGCCCTTCCCACAGCCAAATGTGGAAGGAAAGTCTGAATTCTAGAATTGTCTGAAATGGAATATTGTTGTCCATTGTTCTAGCCTAAAGGAAAGTTTTATATGACTTGTATAAAAGCTGATATTTTTGTGATTAGTGTAAGAGGTAGGCAAATGGTGTTGGTTTAGCTTGCAGTGAGGTGACCAAGAGTTGATGTGACCTGCCACCTGGAATTTTAGGGTTTTTTGCTCCAAGGCTTTCTTGCTTAAGGCATTGGTGGGCTTTTCTGTTTACCTTAGATCTGTTCCAGGCACTTCATGGTGCACAACAATACCTGTTATAGACAGCAGTCTAGAAAGCTTTCTTATGTGTTTTTGCTTACATTTTACAGGCAAGTAGCAAGCACCTCCTGCTGTAGGTTAATGGTAGATTAAGTCCTATGAACTAAAGAAGGTTATTCAGACCTGCCTTGAAGATTTTTGTGATTGTGCTTGAATGGGTTTGATAGGCAGGCTCGTGGTGGTCCTGGCAAAGGACTTGCCCTTGCACTTATTGAACTTCACCATTGGGATTCTCAAAATTACTGGGTAAGAATGGAAATACCCGTGTAGTTTCATTGTTCTTGCTTCTTTTGCTTTCTGGCAGTTGTCAGGTACAGGCTTGAGAAAGGAAGGGGAGTGAAGATGTCCCCTCATCTCCTGTCCCCTAAAAATGAGGGTATTGCCATGTGGTTCTGAAGCCCATTCTCACTGGAGGTGAGTGGGAGAAGAATCTAGCCCTGATTTCTCTTCCCTTTTTTGTAACATCTCAGGGAAGATTGTTCTCCCTGAATGAATTAAGTTGTGAATTATCATTGTCAAGTTTAATGTGATGCTACTTACTTTTCTGTGTGACTATGTACAAACAGCATCAACAGTGATTGATGCTTGGTTGATACAAGTTTTCTGAAGGAATACAGTACAGTGGAGAGAATGGTCCAGAATAAAATCATGTACTTTTTAACTTTGGAGGAGAAAAATCTGCTCTGTACCTTAGGGAGTGTCATGCAAGGTAGTTCAGGCACTGGAAATAGTCTAGCTCTTGTTATTGCAGAATGTTTGGTTAGTGCCATTAATGATTGGGACAGGCACAATCCAGTCTGCAAACTGAAACTTTAGTGATGGGAGTATGAGCTTTCTCAGGAGCTTCTCAGCACTGTGTGATTCTCTTGACTTGTGCTGCGTTTGTTATACATGAAAGTTAAGAAAGTTAAAAGAAAATACTGAAATATTTATGCGTTGGAAACTTTTTAGTAGTATTCAAAAGATCTGTCCTGGTATCCAGTGGACCATCTTTATATCTGACCTTAAGTTTCTTCCTGCTCCAGAGAAATGTTGAGATAAACCCAAGCAACAGAAGCTACTCTTAAAACCTGTTAAAATGACTGAAATTAGAACAGTTCATGAGGGATGCTGTTATAGCTGGGGTAATAAGAAATGAGTGAAACTATATATTCAAACTACTTACTCTGCATAAAATAAGAAGACTGAAATCTAGCCCTTTTTTCTGCTAGTTCATTTTTAATTATTGAAGAAATATTTAATAAACCCCCCAAAATTAGCTTTTTGCTACATATAGTTTCCATGCAAATCAGTGATGAATATGTATTTGCATAGAGGACTTTCTTCTAAGACATTAAAAGCAAACCTGAAATTAATTAGAAATGCAGTGTAGTTGCAAGTTCAACTAGTAATCTGTATGTTCTTGTTGCAGCACTGTTACTGGATCTTTACCATAATCTTAAAAGATCTGACATTTTAACAACTTAGTTATGTAATTACCTGATTACAGTAGGTCTGAATATATACTAAATATGTCCTAATATACACTATTTCAAAACCAGGTTATTTATTTTTTTCCTGTCACGGTGGGTAAATTAAGAATGTGGGTGATTAAGAATGAAGACTGATAATTAAAAAAATACTTTATTAGAATTAAAGCTTACATGAAATACAGTGATTTTACTTAACAGCAGGGTAATGGATTTCCTGTTTCATGCTGCATGGTTTTTGCTTGCAAGACTCCTGGAAGAGCAGTATATTGAGTATGTTGATTAGATATTCATTGGCTTTTTATTTGGCAGGAAAAATGTGACAAAGTACATTAACTTTCTGCTGTTTTATCAGCACTAAAACAATGTTACAAATTACAAGTGTATATTTACACCAAGGAAGGAAGTTCTTGTAAATAAGTTATTTTGAGAGGGGAAGGTAACAAGAGCTAAAGATGTTGAACTATGTATTTTAAGTATTTTAATTTGCTAATCCAGTTGAGAACTCCCAACAGCGATTGCAGACATTTCATCTGAAGGCTACAATTCTTCCTAATTTTCCTCATGCCCTGTTTTATGTTGTAGTTTGTTTTTCCTCTGTAAAATGAAGTCTCTCAGAAAATCATTCTGTAGAGAAAGAGTTTCTCTAGGATACAAGAAAACTTGAACTTTTATAAGAAACTTTTTACTTCCTCAGAAATTGTCTGATGCTGCAAGCCTTTTGGATTTACCTTGTGTGGACTGGAAAGAAGCTTGTATTTGACCTTGATGAAATTGATGTGGGGAAACTTGATCTAAATTTTTAGCACAGGATTTATTAGTCATAGAAACACATGAGTGATTTGTTGAAGTCTTCTAAGGTAGATAGAGGGGCTCTAGTCTGAGCATGGGCTGGTTAGATATTTTTTTCCTTATTCTTTGGTCTGTTACCTAAGTTAGACTAGATGGTATAACTTAAGAGATTTATAAAGATGAAAAAGCTTGAACTTCTAAATTCACTAGAATATAATTTTCTAAATCTAGTTATTATAAAATTCTTGGGGAAAAGAGCTTTTGTCATAGCTACTCATATGTTTGAAATTTTTTTTTTTGCATTCAGGATTCACGTAACTTTCTAATACTTGCCCTGAATTTTCAACATAGAATTATGCACTTCAAAACAAGAAGCATAACTTAAAGGAAAAAAAAAAAAAGGTTTAGGTAATAAATTTGTGTCATACTTTAGAGTAGAGTATGCTTTATTGTGCAGTTACTAATTTCTGTAAAGTAGGCTATTACAGTGTGAAAACCAGAGAGCGTGTATGGTACAGCAGAGAAGAAGAAAAAGGAGGGATGTGGAGAAAGACTATACGTACCATTAGGGCAGGCTAATATGAATTTTCCTATCAAATCTAGCTCCTGCTATTATTACTTTATTATTAACATACAGAAGATTGCAATTGTTTAAACTGATTTAAAGAGGTAGGCTGTAAAAGGGTAACTGAAAGGGAGGGTGTATTACTAACCGAGGTTTTAGTCATGTGTTGTGGGAGGCTATCTGCCTCAGGAAGCATCTGTTGCACCACGTGTACATGATTTGTTTTAATGATGAAGAGGCACAAGCAGTAAGACAGACTTATATGTTTACTATTTACATAGGTTTTTCCTGGTTCAAAAGAACCTCTATATGTAGATCCTACATCAAGTCATTTCCTCAAGGAATCTCTCTGTAGAAATAGAATAAGTTGATGTTTTTGAAATATTAATATCTTACTGTGTGCCTAATGTCACACAAAGCTAATGGCATGAATTTACAGCTTTGTGGGGATCTTTGGATAGATCACTTAATATCTTGGGTATTTTGTTTGAGGTTTTTTTTGAGTGCACTTGCATAATTACTTAACAAAAAAACCTAACCCAGCAAACCCCACACAAAACCACCAAAAAAAAAAAAAAAAAGACAAAAAATACTGTGTGGAGAGGAATAGACTGCAGTATTGAAAGCATGAAATGATTAGAGAAGGGCTTTTAACATTAGAGTCAAAGTAGTTGGAACCTCAGGGTTGATATGCAGAAGTGCCTGACTTCAACATGCTGTCTGGAGGCAAGAATCAAAAAGAATCTAGCTTTAGTGGCCTAAACCAGGGAGGATAATTGTCTTCTATACAGTGATTAAAGCGGAAGAAGTTGCTAGTATGATCTGATAAGGAATAGCAATAGTTATATAGCACTTTGGCTATAATAAGTTTGACAGGCAGATTATTTGACAGCCCAAGATCTTCCTTTGAAGTGACTATCTCTGAATGGATGGGCTCTGTGAAGCTATTGTTTGAGGGCTTGAGGTCATATTAGCACCCAGGATGCAAATAATCCAAGAGAGGTGGAACAAACATAATGTCTTTGAGAGAATATGCTGTGTTTTTTGGGAGAAGATGAAGAGGTGGAGTCTAAAAAAGAAAAAAAGTCAAAGGAAGAATCCAGAAAGGAATAAAAATGGAGAAGATACAGAGGTCAGGTGTAAACTACTCAGTTAAAAATAAATAATTTATAGAACCGGGGTAAGCTCAGAAACATATGCTTCAGTATACCCTCCCTTTAGTGCTAATTTGTGATTAAAGGCTTTGTAATAAAGGAGAACCAGTTCATGCTCTTATTACTTATTATTATAATGTAATTAATATGCTAGTGATATTCTCGGTTGTTTATGCTTCCTTTCTTTTAGCAATTAAAATGGTACGTGCATCTATACATCACAATCTATTGTACAAGCTTGCTAAATTAAAATATTATGCATTAGTATGACTATTTTAGGAGAATCTGGAGAAATGAAATTTAACATGTAACTTTTCAATGTGAAATTATTTTCTGAATTACTGCTGAAATAGAGCTGCCTATTCAATTTGTGTAAAGATGAGTTGGTGAAAGAAGTCTGTGGATATAAAAAATGAAAGAAACATGATTTACTAGTTTGGACCAGAGACCTATTCATTTCAATAGTCTGTTCTGGACAGTAGTGAGTACTAAATACTTTGGGCAGAATTGCAAGAAATTCCATGAGAGGAAATCCTGAAGAGCTAGATGCCAAGATAGTGTGGTGCCCCCATTTTAAGTATGTAT